CATCTGTGGATATTTTTCGAAAAGTAACGGAGGTTTAAAAAGACAATTAAGGCGCGATATATTCCGAGCAATGAAAAAGCATAAGCGGAGATTTAATCCGTTGTAGATATCGTTCAAAATTGAATTGAGACATGCAATTTGGACTAATTATTACTTTGCTTCATAAGAAAAAAATCACTTTCTTCTTTACATAACATCTCAAACATTTTCTTTTCATTTTTTTTTTGAAAATTTCATTAACTCACTTTTAAGGCAAACACTTTTCCACACAATTCAGTAAAAAAAAAAAAAACCTTTGCGGTAAAAACTTCATTTCGGTCTTTTATGCTATGCCCGTAAATTTTGAGCTAACTAAAAATTGAGTGACTCGTAAATCAAAAAAATTTCTTTCTTTTTGGAGTCTTCAATGGCTTTGAATACTTCAACGGAAACCAAAATTTATGAAATTATCAAAATGATTTGCCCTGATTGCTTGCGCACGCAGAGCAAAATATTACTGTTTCGGTAATTTTTAAGTAAATCACAGCTCTGTAACAGAGTTCTGCAAAAAGTACTTTAAGTCTATGTATCAAGAAATCAGATTAGAGCCATAATTATGGTTTAGTTGTATATTCAGAAAAAATAACTTTGAATGTATAATTTGCAACTTCCAGAGCACCCTTGAGTCAACTCTGTGCCACCATTATTTAGTCATGTGTACAACTTGCAGCTCTCAGGAAAGCGCATAGACATACCAAAGGTTACCCTTGAGAGTATGATTGAAGCAAAACTTGGATGGCTCCCCGCATCCAGTTTCAAGCGTTAATAATCGATTATATTATGATTTTAATAAAAAGTCTTACAGTCTCACAAAATTAAGAATTATTCATTGATTAAAATTTGTCTTTTTGAAATCAAATAAAATCACTTATAATACATTATAATCGATTATAATCGATTATTTTATCCGAATTTCTATTTCATTCATTTTGCAGGAAAAAACCATTATAATCGATTATAATTGTTTATAATCTCTTTTGTTTTCGACCTTGCACATGAATTGTTTATATTTTATGCTTTTCGTAGACGTTGGTTAATCTAAAAAATGAGAAAATTAATTTAACAGTTTTCAAATCAGTTCAAATTTATAACTTTTTTGATTTTTACATTTCTCCTTGATTATAGTTGTTTCATGATATGAATTTTTTTAATTTTTTTTTGACCACTAAAATATCAGCACACTGCTTTAGTTTGATGATTCAAATAGAAGAGTTATATTTCACCTACCGCGGGATTCTTTCAACTAATATGAAGGGATCTCTATGAAGCTTTTGTTTCGTGGTAAGAGTTTTTGTGTTCAGATGAACCAAAGAATGACCAGATTTCTCATGGTCAAAGAATGACCAGAAAAAGTATTATAATCTATTATAATAGGTTGTAAAAGGTTATATGAGATTATTAGAGATTTACAGAAAAATTATAATCTTTTATAATTGATTACAATTTATTATTGTCACGAAAAATGTTATCATTATAAAGGATTATAAATCGTTCAAACATCTAAATTTTGCGCTGATAATAATTATAATTTTGATAAAAGTACGATTTTAATTTTAATATAATCGATTATTTTTTCTTTTCACTGAGTGCGGTTCATAGTTGCTTATGTTTGGTCTATCGTACAAAATTCGTTTTCTAAATGTTGCTGATAAAATCTGGAGCGTTACTGAATTGCTCTGCTGTCTCAATTTGGTTTTTGAAAGCAGTTTTAAGAGTTTAATGCAATCGGGCTGACATACCAAGAAACAAATCGGCAAATTTTTATTTCTTTTTGCTCCGATTCTTGAAGAAAGTGGCGGAAACTTTGTGCTCAGGGTTGTTTTTTTTTCTCGAGACAAATGTTGGCTTTTTAAGTAGCAGTTTTTGAAGATTTTTTTTGGTTTCTTCAAGATTTACTTTTAATAAATATAAAAATATTGCTGTTTCGAGCTCAAAATTAAAAAAAAAACACTTGTGATCTTTTTTCGTAAAGTTGGGGGTTTAACGATTGCCTGTTTCGTAAAGTTTTGTGGGCTTAAAGATTACCAATTAACGAGTGATTCATTTGAGCTATTAAGCGGAGATTTAATCCGTCATTCCAAACCATTCAAAACTAGTTGAAGCAGGCTATTTGTCAAAAATGATACATTTTAGGAGCAAAATTTATCACTTTGTTTTTTAAATGGCGTGTTGGGTAATGATAAAAAAATCTCAAACAATTTATAAAAAATCATTTTTTTTTAAAAAGGTTAATTATTTTTATAGGTGAACACTGCTCCATAGGCCTAAAAATGCATTCGGAACTTTCAGGGCTGGGCCACGATACAAGCAGTCTTGTTTGAGTTGTTTTTGTATTACCTGTGGACAGACCATTACGAAAGTTAACTTTTGATTCAATTTTTTATTTTAATTTATTGTGTGATTTAGCTTTCAACTGATCAATAACCACTCAAGGTTTCAAAAGCCAACTATTTTTTATCACTATTACAAATTTAAACAAAAATTTAGTTTTCGATGTCTACAGAAACCTAACTTGGAAAACAAAGGAACTAGTTTTTGAAACAGAGACTTTTTGAATTTCAAAGTTTTTGTTTTATATAATAAACTATATCACAAAGCGAAAGAGTTTTTTAAACGTTTTTGTCAGCTAAGTTTAAATTTTTCTGTAATTTAACTTAATGTAAATTTTTCTGTAATTTAACTTTTTTAAAAGTCTTTTGAAACTCCTCAGAGAAATAACTAACTTTTTAAAGATCAGGAACGAAAGGAACATCAATTTTTGAGCCGAGCGGTATGAGATTAAAGCTCGGAAAATCCTGATGGGATTTCTCAAGTAGATTTGTAGAGGTTAAATTGTAAGAAGTCAATTATTTTACGAAAAAGTTTTGAAAATATCTTCAGAAAAATTTTTAGCTAGATCTCGCTGAACCGCACACATCAGCTGTTCCCAGGCTTACTTACTGTCATTTTTAACCACAAAAATGAATTAATTCAACAATTGATCATTTTCGGTGCTTAACTATGTTGCGTTGTGATGATTGTGTGAATGTGATTGTAAGGTATGTATGTACTAACAATGATTAGACACCTCTGTCTGGAGAACATTTGGGAGTATTCGAAGGGCCACTTGATGGCAGCCAGTCTCTGGACACACACTGCTAGAGTAGTCCAGATGTTCACATGCATCAGGGCGATGTCATAGCCGGGCAGTCTAATAAAACACAGGAAAATTCCACGTTTAATTTCAAAATTGACAATTTACTACTCTTTATCTACGAGGGAAATGACCAACAAGAGAACCCCTGCTTACAAGGACCGCTGTTGTGCCCCTGCTTAAGAACTTCATGCAATTTTTGTTGGTTATTTTCTGGGCTGGGCAGTGTTGCCTCACCCTCAAGCAACGAGCACATCCGAATGGGGCGGGGGGGGGGGGGGGTTGTGATTCGAATGTACTTTTCCGCCACCGTCAATTTGGCTTGATCGTAGGCTCAAAAATATAGCTCCTATCAGCTGCAAACTAATCCCTTTACTAGAGTAAGTTGACTAGTTTGATGGGTGATTTGGGCTTTGCTTTTCAAAACGTTAAACAACCAAACTATGTAGTCTTCAATGCAACTACAGCAATTTTTTTTTTGACACTGAGAAAGCTACTGTTTTTTATGTGCCGCTCAAATCATGACTGAAACAAGGATAACCAGATAATGTGAAAGTAGCGCAGAATATTCCGACCACAGTCTTAAAAAATTCAAAAAAATGTTTTTTTTTCTTCAAATTGGTGTCGTTTTATTCTGCATGTTGTAATAGAAAGATCTGATGGAAAAAAATTTTTTCGGCATATAAGAGAGTAATCGTAAAATAGGCCAATTGAAAAACTGTTTTTGCTGAAAAATGACTAGAAAACCGAAAAAAAGGGAAAAAATTTCAAATTTTCAAAACTTCAAAATTTTTGTGAAAACTTTTTGAAGTTTCAAGTTTTTTTATTCCAAAAATTGGGCTAAAAAACTCCAAAAACCACAATATTCGAGTAAAAATAAGTTTTCACGGCTTAAATTAAGATTAAATAAGCTATTATAAGCCTGCGCGGCTCATTAACTTGCAATTAGACCAAAAATCAAAAAAAATTCAAACCGGTTTTTCTCTAAGCTGTAAACGACTGAAAAGGCTTTATTATGATATATCGCTCAACTTTGTCCGATGATTACCTTTGGTAGCTGATTTTGCGTGAAAAACAAAAAAACAACTAAAACACACCCGAATACAAAGTTCTTCCTCAGTTTCGATGGTCGGAACAATTATTACATGTATATGAACTCCATGAGATGGTCTCTATGGCGCCTGATTTTGGTTTGAAGGAGCTGTTTGATGAGCAACTAGCACGCAATATTCCGATCACCTTTCCTGTTGCAATATTAGAATAAAACACGTTATCAGAGACTTTCCAGCTTGAAAGAGAACATAACTCATTTGTTACCAAACATTTTTTCAATTTGATTCTGGAAGTATTAAAGATCATAAATCAGTGCTGATTTAAATTATCCGGACAAACTTGAAATAAACGCACAAGATTTTAGCGCATTTTTTTCAAATTGGGTTGAATTTAGGAAAAAACGATGAAGACAAAACTTGCTTAAAATTTTACCAAATTCTAAGCTGAATTCGGGTCCGAAGTTTTACCCCAAAAACGAATCATTTTTGGTGTTTTCAATTAATCAAAACCTACGCCAAAGCCACTACCAAGCCAGCTTTTGACAAAAATGAATCAAAGTTAGTCTCAAACGCAGCACAAAAAAAAATATGAAGAATGTAAATTCCACAAAATTTCGCAAAATGCTTAAATTTTTTTTTTTAAATGGTGTTTTATAGTTCATATAGTAAAAATAACATCTATCAACTAAAAATAATCTAAGTTAGACACTCTTCTGGAGATAATAGCCTGCTCAAAGTTTTTTGTAATGCTTATGAGGCTCACTTTGATTTATTTTGGTCAGTATTTGACTTGGTAGTTTCGCTGTAGTTTTTGATTGACTAGAAAAGCCAAAAAAGATCCGTTTTTGAAGTAAATTTTTCAGTTTGAAGTTTGCAAAACGAACTGAAGAAAAAACGCGTTTTATTTTCAAGTTCTGGGCGTTTTATTCGGGTAATCAGCAATGTAAAAAAAATTACAGATTAAAATCTTTTTACGTGTTTTAAAAGCTAATTAGCGATTTTCAAGGAGGATTTTTAACAGTTTGACTATTGCTTGAAAGAATTTGAATAGATGAATGTAAAATAGTTTGATGCGCAGTTTTGTCAAAAAAAATTAGCTTCTGCATAAATCTGCTTCAAAAAAAGTTAATTGCTTCTGTTAATTGCTCCGACTTTCTGCAATTAAAATAAGTTGGCTTCAATCTTAAATGAAATGCTGTTTTAGCTGTATTAAATCACTGCTTACATGTTAATACAATAAAAAATCTTGCACTCAATTGGTTCAAAGTTGCAATTTTTAAACACTCAATGTCTAAGCTTTTTAAAAGCTCAATTATCTATCATTTCCTCATACATTGAATGACCGAGAAGAAAACGTCATAAAATAGTTATATTTCATAAAACTACTGAATATGCAATTGTACAAGGGTTGACTAATAAGCATAAATTGGACCAACAAAAAAAGCACGTTGTAATTAGATTTAATATAATTTAATTTAAAATAATATTTCAGTTATCGCAATATAGGCTCAGTTATCGCAATATCACAAAACCATTTTAATTGTTAGTGAATCATAATAGCCGATTGCTGAAATGTGGTGAGCCTTACTTAAATCTGTGATTTTTCTACGGGGCTTGAACAATGCTAAATTTACTAGATGGGGACATTTTTTGAGCAAACTACTTAAAGTGTTTCGGAAAACTACAGTTCGAGTTAATAAAGATATGCTAACTGGTTCAACGGAAGGTTTTGTCTCCCATAAAAGGTATTTAGACAATACACTCTTTTTGCAAAACTAGCTTTTTGGACGAAAAGCAAAAAACTAACAAAACTCAAGGCTTGAAACAGGCTTTTACAGATACAAAAAGAGTTTTTAACCCCTTTCCATATCAAAATATTTATTACAAATGATTTATAAATAGTTAATCCAAATATTATAGAAACATTTTTGAAATGCATAAATTATACAATTGCGACACGTGAAAAATTGATTCGAATTTATTAAAGTTCGAACGAAAGTTCATTTTAGTCAGCATAAAAATTTCACACATGTTAACAGTACATTCAAGTCTCCATGTTTGTAGTTTTCATCGACGTCTAAAATCAATTTTTTTGGTCACATCTAAGTTAATTCATAAAAATTAGTGTCATCATAATTGATTTGAAGTTAGCACCAATCTTCTGGTGCAACAACCAAAATATACACTGAAAATTGGAAAAATGTAGATCTTTTTTTTTAAATCGAAACTTTATTAAATTTATCTAGGAACATAAATTACGGCTCAAAATTGTTTATTTTGCTGTCAAGTTTGTCTCTCTTTGAGCGTTTTTAAAATAGACAAAACCAGGAAGACACAATTTTTCAGATAACTTTTTAAGTCATCAAAAATTTTGAACAAATGTAGATCAACTCAAAAATTTGGTTCTAAATTTTGAATTAGAAATCAAAAAACCTAGGAAAAATATAAAGCGAAATATACAGGCTTTTTTGGCTCATGTTCTGTTTAAATTAAAAATTCTTGTTTATTGAAAAGAGAGCAAAGATCGGCTCACAATACAAATCTGCCAAAACAGCTAAATATGTTCAAAATTGATTTGATCTAATTTTTTGAGTTAATAAAAAAATGCCAGAAAAAAAACATCTCGAGTCAGAGTTTAATCCCACGCCGCCTTGATAAAACTTTTGTAGAAACATCAGGTTATTTATTACAATAACCAGAGAATTGTAATAAATGATAACATGGAAGAAAAATTGTTAAAGTGTGGTTGCCTTGCTATAAATATGAAATGATGCGTATCCCAGGACAACATTGTTGTGATACATAGCTGATAAATAAATGCAAAACTAAATTCTGAAAAAATTCTGAAAATATTTGCGAAACAAAATTCAGAATTTTGTCATTATATACAAAACTTTTGTATCAGGGTGACAACTTGACCTTTTTGATAGGCTTTTAACATCTATAGAGTAGCCCTGAAAATTCCGACAGTCCCACAATTCATATCGAATATTTTTCGGGAAAAAATAATGAAAACCTATAATTTTTAAACAGTATCAAAGTGTAAAATTTTGAGTCGTACGAAATTAATACGACCGATTAGCTAGCCTCAAATCAATTTGGAACGAATTTGTTGTGCGGGATAATTCGCCACGCATAAATATTTCTCGCTAGCCATTATGAATGATTGAAAACATGGCCAATTTGGCCACTTTTAAACCCCCAGAATTTTTCGGCAGTCCAATTGTTTTTTTTTTGAAAACTTTCAAATTATTTCATTTCCACTGCACTAACCAAAATACTTTCAATTTTTTGTCGTCCAATTGGCAAACTAGCTTGAACACTTTTCTATATGACCTTTGCGACTCAAAAAGAGCGCAATAAATAAATAAAACTTTGGTAATTTTTTTTCTACTCAGAAGCTTTGGCAGAAACTCTTATTGTTCCGACTTTTAAAGAAAGTGACGAAATGATTTAGCTGGCGTGGTTTTGTTTTTCTAAACCTTCATAACAAGCTCTTTTGGTCGTTTTTTATTCTATCAGATTATATTTCTTGCACATAGAAAAAATTCGTTTGCTTTTTTTTTCTGCAAAACTATCGGGATTTGAACCCCTAGTTGACTTTTGTAAGTATAATTCGGCGTGAAACTTTTTCTCCAATAAGAGCGTCAGCGGAGGATAAAATTTTTCCAAATTGTAGCAGGTATCTTGGCTTCTTTGCATACTCACCAGACGCAAAAATTACCACTTTTTTTCTTAAATATTGAGTGAGGGGATGTTCTTCAATTTTTTTCCTTTTTTGAAACATTGTATCAAATTGATAATTTTTCAACATGACGATAATGAGCAGTCAAAACAATCAGATCTTTGCCCTTTTACGAGCAGAGTTGTAATTCCGACTCTCATTAAAAACGAGGAATATAAATACTTCGGCTTCGCACTGAAAAAAAAAGTTGAAAAGCTGAGTCGAACTTGAAATCTTGGGGTTCGCTAGTGGCGGAGATGCGCACTATCCTAAATGCTTCT